ATGAAGTGTCAAACAATTTTTGTCCATGGGGGCTGACCATGTTCATTGACATGACCTATCTTCAAGGGAAACACCCCAGGAAATAGATTACAAACCTTTCCACACACAACCACCCCCTACTCCAGACACAGCACCAAAGACTCAAAAAGGCAAGAAACCCAATTTTAACTATTTTTCCATGGGGGCTGACCATGTGACCTATCATACCTATCTTCAGGTCTTCAGGTAAGACACCTCAGGAAATAGATTACACACATTTCCAGATGAAGCGCTGATGTAGATTGAAATAGGAACCCGTGCATGCACCAAAGACCTGGCAAGATGGAAAAAGAAAACCTTGCTGCATTTTGGAAACGCTACACTTCATCAATTGGATAAATTTGACAGGTATCCACCCCGCTAGCTTTCACAATCTTTCACCAATCCCCCCTGCCTCTTCCCGTCAAGAAGATTAAGAAGTTATAGAAGTTGTTATTGAGGCGGGGGGGGGGTCAGGGGACAGGATAAAAAATGTAAGCTTCAAAGTTGTTATTGAGGGGGGGGGGGTCAGGAGACAGGAGAAAAATCATGAACTTAAAAGTTGTTATTGAGGAGGGGGGGGGTCAGGGGACAGGATTTAATTTATTGTTATATAGTGATCATGAGCGACTACCCCCCCCCTCTTCTTGGCTTATTTCATGGCCTTCTTTCAGAGGTCTGCGCCAATGGAAATAAATTCCATTTCAACATTAATTTCCAATGTGAGGACATCCCCTGGCAGTACACACGGGGATAATACATGTAAATACATGAAATTACAGGATGTCGTCGAAGTTGCTTCTCTGGAAAGTAGGTGCCATGCTCTAGCTGCTAGCTTGTCGAACTGCCCAAGAAACTTTGGGTGGCAGCAACACATCCCAGGGTTTAAGTGGACATGGAAGGTATTGCGTTGTCTTTTAGTGTTTGTGCCTATGCTTATGCTTCCTTTTCACTTGCGCCGTAGCAGACTTGCACATAGACATGCATAGCTTCCAGCAGAAGTAGCATAAAAGTCGCTTCTGATGTTTTTTGATGCATCCGATTCCAAAAGGATGAGAATCTCTTTCGTTTCCAACACCCAAATCATCCCACACAACCCTTCAAGTACCTGTGACGCCAAAAACGACCTGACAAGGCGTTGTTGGGTGCCCAGCTAAATACCCGGTTTGAATTGACAGAAAGAAGACACACCGTTGCACCGACAAAGCGGTGTGAGCAGAATTTGGACGCCGATGGGAAAGCCTCATGTGATGATTTCTTCACCTGGACACTAGTGCTTTTCAGGATGAACACATGCAGGGTTTTAGATCTAATCTATCCATTGGCCCTTCTGATGTTTTTTTGGCACGTGTACGTAGCATATTTATCGTTTACATGCCATCATGACCTGCCCCCAAAACTGGCTGCCTATCGCGCTCAGCTTACACGCGCAACCGCACCTGCTGCCGCTGCGTGTGCAAGCAGACCACCTGCTTTTTGCTCGGGGGGCCTGGAACTCGCTTCACATCGCCAGGTAAGGAGTGGTTCCGCCGGTTCCAGAAGCAGACGACCCTCATGCAGAGGGCTGCTTTCATTTGTGTTTCCAGTCAAGAATCTGGTGATGCGGCTGTAGTTCCAAGCTGTGGAAAGCAAGCCTCGATTAGTGTTGATGATGTTGCATTTCGGATCAGCAAGAGGTTTAATTGGTAAAGTTGCCAGCATCAGATGACCATCGCAATTTCGACTCCATGGGCTGGGCATCTTTTCGACTCCATGGGCTGGGCATCTTCCAAGGGTCATGATGTCATGATTTGGGCGGAAGGAAAGGACAAGAATCATGTGCTGTCACCCTGCTCAACCGGTCCAACGCCTCCCGTCGGCCGTGGCCGTTTCGTTCAACCGTTGAGGCAGTGTCTCAGAGAGACGGTGCGATTCTTGCTGTGCCTCCAGGCGATGAGCCAAAGGGTGGATGGAACGGTCGACCACGCCCAGTCTGAGCACTGGCACTGCCACGGGGCGCGGCCCACATACGGGGCGCGGCCCGCGGCCCTGCAATCAAAGGCCATCATTTACTATGGCAGTGAGGCTGCTACAGTGGCCACGTGGTAAACACGAATTTTGCCTCAGTGTCCATAGTGTCCGGGCTTCATCACAAGAGTCAGGGGCGGTGGAGGACTAGGGCCATAGGGCAGCTGGAATTATATAAATATAAATACTATACTTTGATTATGCAAAGTATCAAACACATTCAATCACTTGGTGTGTGGAAGAGAGAAGGTGAACAACTTGTATGTCCCTTCCTTTCACCGAAAGACACCAACTCCATCAATGCACCCCACTTGAAGCTTCCTGATGCATCCCTGCCCTATCGTGCCCTCCACAGGTGCCTGCTTGCCTGTTCTTTTGGTTGAAGGCGGTCCGTGCGTCCGGGGACCCACAGAGACGCATGGGGAGACGCACAGAGACGCGAAGACACCGAATCCGGCAGGGAGACGGGATCCGGCACCGGATTCAACCAATGGATTGAATGCAGCCATAGACTTAGACCATGGCCTGTATAACAAAGTGCCTGCAAAGCATGTCCCCTTTTCAAAGGCTTCACGCCCATAACCGAACCGCAGCGATATACCGGACATGGGTTTTGGGGGCCGACTGGGCTTGGCGTTTCGTCGTAGTGGTGTGGAAAGCCGTCAAACACCAAACAACGTTTCACGGCGTAGTCGTGTAATCACACTTAAGGACACAGTTTGCGAGCATGCTCCGCTATAAACCTACTTAGAGAGCTCTCTCAAATATGAGTGTCCTCCTAGTTCTTCTGCAAGATCCAGCTGATCCAAGTTGGTTGTTCAGAGTTTGGTCCACCCTCTGGCCGTTTCTCACGATAGTCCCAAAACAGCGGGGAGGATGGCTTTGTGACCCTCAGAAACGATCGGAGCCGCGAAGAACGGGTCACTGAAGAACCCTGAGGTGTCTTTGCTGCAAGCCGCTGAAATGGCTGTCACTTGGTGGAAGCGTGGTATTTGTTCCAGCATTGTGAATGTTTGTGGGAGAAGCGAAGTATTTTGACCATAAGCTGACCATAAGGCCGCTCGATTCACAAAAGAAAAGCTTTGTCAGTTGGACATTTTCCAGTTGATGTTGGAGTTATGTGGAAGCAACAAAACTGGGAAAGAGACTGCTATGAAGGGATGACTCCAGGTCTACCCATGTTCTGATTCCATTTTGGACTTGCCCAGTTGACCAACTGCAGGTTTGCTGGTCTCATGGCTGCTCAGTCCACCTGCGTGTTCTGTGCATGTCGGCCATCCACGGCGAGGTTCCTTTGGGTCTATCCACGGAGAACCATGTCCCACACACCGGGGCCGCCTGGAGAGCCCAGAAGAATCAGGGGAGGGTGAGGGAGGGTGTGACAGGCGTGACAGGGGAAGGACATGACAAAGGACTTGTGGGATTGATAGAAGACAGTAATGCATTATGATGCATTGGCACTACGGATTTGATACATTGAAGCCGCGGGAATAGGTCGTTTCATGAGGATTTGCACTGGAGGTCATTTTTGTGTTGGTGTGCCTGCAGTCCTGTAGCTTTAGCTGGGGCGAATGTGGTTTGTTTGTTTGTGAATGGAATTGCATATCCAGCATCATGAGGTATGTTTGGGAAGTTGTGATGAAGAAAACATGCAAACCTAGAACACTTTTGGAGTCGTTTGTTTGCCTTTCAGGGACTTGGTGATGCACACGATACACAAAGCACGACTGACATAAGACCTACAGATGAACCGTAGAACATCCTTGGTCATAGCAGCTTGCACTGAGTCGCATAGGTCGCAAGGATGGGTGAAATAGTAGAGACTTCAGGTGTCACATGTCCTTGACCCAGAGACTTGTTACGTAGGCGTCACACGCGTCAGGATGGAGATATCCAACATCGTCACCTCTCCACGCATCAGGATGGACTCGATGGATTCCTTTGGGCCGTTGAACCTGGACGTGTGAGCACCCGGCACGGCGGCAGTCGGTGGAGGCGAACGAGGTAGTGTGAGGAGGTTCATCCACGAAGGTAGTCTGGCTGAGATTTTCGGGTTTTCTCATGGGTGTTGAGGTTGGTCTCATCAAATGTGTTTTGATTGACAAAGAGGCAGAGATCGCATCCAGACCATGAAAACACCGGCTAGAGGGTCATGAGCATCATGAGCAGGCCTTGTAGTTTTTTTCTAACAAAAGTGTCCACACGGGGGTTTAGGGTTCAGAGCAGAGTCTCACCTCATTGCTTCCCATGTTCATGCTCAATACAACACATTTATCCTTCAGCCCACCTAGTGCTGTGCATTTGAGCTGTTGCCAGATGCCAGCTGCACAGCCAGTTGCCAATGTGCCAAGCGGAAAACCAGGTTGACCGTGAAGTGCAGTTTTTGGATACTTTAGGCTGTACATGGAAGATGCAGGTACTTGATCTGCACTCCTATCATGCTCACTGTGTTGGGGCTGAGGTGACTATGTGATGTGTGTAACTCATGGCGCAATGCAGTTGTCAGGACGATGATTCAGACCTTTTCCATGGTCTTTTGACCCCTCCCACGGCTCCAAAATGAATATCCAAATTCTAATGGTTACATTAGTTGAAGATCAGGATTGCCACAAGCTCTTTTCTCGTAGCATCGATTCTGAGTTTAGCTTCTTGCTTTCCCATTTTGGCGTGTGGGTGATCCGCACAGTCCGCAGTACCCACTGCGGACATCGAGTTGGGTAGCCCACAGTGCCGTCGATCTTTTCGGCTCAAAGAGATCCGCCATGGGCCGAATACCTGCGCAGGAGAGCCCCCGGGTGCGTGGCATGCTGCACATGCGCCCAGCGCGTCCGAACATCCAACCAAGAATCTACCAAGCTGGGCAGAACCCCTTTGCACATGGAAATCATCTTCCAGGGCCCATGTTCCACTTCCACGATTGTTTGAGGAAGGGTATGGCTTGATGCTTGGGGAGCCAACGCAGTACCAATCTATAATGCTTCTTGCTCGATACTGACTTCGGGGTATTCGGCGTGGTTGGCCTTCTTTCATGCATGGGGATGGAGTTCTTCCAATTTTGGACCCTCAGAACGGCGCTTGTACTTGTCAGCAAGACTTTTTGCCTTGGGGTGCAATAACATGTACATACTGTAGCTCCGATGTTATACAGTTATACATATTTACAATGCTCCTCCTTCACGCCCCGTGATTGCTTGTCCTTCCAAGGGTGGCATGGAGAATCGACCGGAAGATGATACCCCTCATACCCGCGTGGCAATGATAGATAATGGTTGCACTATGTTGCACTCCAGCTCACTAACATGTTTAACATACCTGTTCCTAAATGGAGAGTTAGTCTTCCAAGGGATTGTTCTCCAGTTCCATGTTGACTCAGAGGGTAGCCGTCCCAGGGAGTGGCGGTGCTGCCGAAGCGACAAAAAAAAACAAAAGCGACGAGTCATGCAGGTGTCTCATGCACCTTCCCTTCTCCAGTTCGAAGGTGACCAAAATTGTTGAATGAACTAGTTATTCTTTTTATTGAGCACTGTCCCTATCCCTCGATTTTCAGCCCCTCAACATCCCTCAACCCTGAAAAGCAGAAGTACATTGGGTAGCCTCTGGGGCTGGGGACTGACATTGCGATAGTAGTAGGTCTCACTGCGATACCCGGCGATACCCCACCTGAATCCACTTCCAGGATCCAGGGGAGGTCGCCGCGGCCGCGGCAAAGGTGCACTTCCGTACGCACGGCCGAAACTTTGGAACATGTGCTTGCTATCATGGTCTCCAACTAGATAAGGGCAGTATGAATCATGTGCCTAATCATCACATAGTGTTGAGGAAGGATGCCCATCTTGCTGCCAACCTTACTTGCTCCTTGCTACCCGGCAGTTGGTGAGGTTCTTCTCAGTTTCAATGTTGCTTTAAACTGAGATTAGGCCTTTGTAATCTTTGTATGTTGATGCACCAATTGCAGAAGACCGATTGCGTGCTCCCACTGGGCATCGTGATAGTTTCAGATGGTTTCAGGATCCGCAGACTTGTGGTCTTGAGACCCCATCATCAATAGATGGGCTTTTACCATTGGTTGAGGTTCAGTAATTGGGGGGACATCCCCAAGTGAAGAACAAACAAGTACGTGGTACAAAATCGACCCCTCTGGATGATGCCAGACTTCGGGGGTTCCATCATTAGATACCTGCTAGATACTATCATCTTCCCTGCTCACTTCTGACATCAACTTGGACCCGTCCGATTCCTCCACAAGTACGGCCAGGAGCCCCTAGTAGCGTCCTTGCTCCTACTAGTCTGCAAAGCGGATGCCTTGGCCCGTCACCAGGCGGCCACTGCAGATGCCTTGGCTAAGGTGGCCACTGCCCAGGCGGAGAAGCAGGCGAGGTCGATTGCGAGAGGGGTCGATGCCGGGCGACACAGCCCGCTGTTCAAGCGGGGCCCGCCTTTGGGAACGACGAGTGGAGAGAGAGGCAGCTGCAAAAGCAGCAGTGAGTTTGTCACAAGTTGTATAAGTTGTAGTACAGCAAGAGAGGTGCCTGCATTAAGATGATTCAGTGATTTGGTGGCAAGATTTGTGTAGAGACCAGGCTGCTTCAAGTGATCTTCAAAGATACAGATACATCGGACATTTCCAGGAATCCAGCCAGCAAATCATCCACAGATATCCACAGTGCACGAGCTTCCTCGTACACCAGATTAAGATGATGGTTGTTCTACTTCAAGTTTCAAGTTCCGTGTTCTAGTTGCGAAAGAGTAGAATATGGATGAATATGCCCATGGGCTGTTTCAATCTCAGGACGCCCTGAAAGGAAACGAGGTCATCCATTGGGCATCCCACATGTTTGTTTGTTCAACGCATTCTCAAATAGGACGTGTGACTCTGTCACATTGGTGCCAAACCCTCGCTTTGTCAGGTCAATGATGATTTGTAGCAAAAATAGATGCAAAAAAGCAACGTGCGCCAAGTGCCGCGTTGGAGTTTATGAAAAAGATCGAATTTGGCGTCACGGGAGAAGAACACCAAGATGACCGACGCGGTGCCCTTCGGAACATCGATGCGCCTGGGCGGTGGAGGCCAGCGAGGCCGTCTTGCCGCTGGGCGAGAAGGGCGAGGCGCCAGACGGTGGGAGAGAAAAAAACAGATCAGAGATCGATGAGAGACATGAATGTCACAAGATACTGTTGGTTCATGTAATTTAATGGATCATAGCATTGCAGCATTGCATATGCCAAATTGTTGATGATTTGATTGGTGTTCTTTGTGATTTGATCATTCCTGGATCATAACCACAATTCAAGAGTGTTGCTGCTGTCATTCCAATTCTTCGATAGCTAAGTGTTCATCTCAGGTCACGGATTAGTGATTATATACAGTACTTCATCAGCCGGTCAAACTACAATTGAACGCCTAACTAACTGGCAAAAGGAGTGAAGCGGTTTTGAAACTACTCAGCGCTGCTCAGGAGTGGCAGACTTATATTTCTAGTGGATGACACAATGAAATAACATGTTTCAGCTAGCTTGATAGAAGATTAGAAGAATCAATACCGGACACAGCTACCCCAAAACAAGATTATAAGTGCATCCCCTGAACAAACATGCATTGGCACATTGGCAGTCAATCTTGCTAATTGTTGCGGATTTACCAGGGCTCCCTGCATGCGGCCGCACCACCCATAAGCCGAAGTAAGTGGGTTGTTGAGTCCACGCACAATGGAAAAGCAGCAATTTGGCATCCAAGCTTTCAACTGGTGACAGAGACAGGTTTGCACCATAATTGGAGTCTTGTTGAATGGGATGAAACTCAATAAACTCAAGGATGGTTCACCAAACGGAGGCAAAACTGTGATGGGCTTAAGTATTTTTTGCTGTAGATCAGGTAGATCTGACCAAAACCAGCCTGCTTCGTTCGAAGCGAACCCCTCGGCCGGACGCCGGTGGATCCAAACCCCTCGGCCTCGGATCCAGGCGGGCGGAGCGACCGATGCGCTGGGCCAGTTCGGAAGGCCCAGGGCAGTGCGAGGCCGAACCAAAAGGGTTTGACGAAAACGAAGTGAGGTGAGGTGGAAAGATGACGTGTGTGAGTGAGGTATGTGTGTTTATCTCACGATTCATCCATTCACTTTGAGCTCTTTCGTGTGGCGGAATGGGATTGGGCTTCTCGGGTCTGGTGAGTCCCCACAGTTCGGTGTCTCTCCGCTGATGTCATGTTCTCCAACGATGTGCCAATGGCTGAAAGGGGTCTCCGACCCAGAAACGACCTGTTCTCCGACCCCAAAACCGCCTCTGCAAGTCCCGCACAAGCTGTTGAGAAGCCAAAATGGTGTGAATATATTTGAATTGTTTCCTACCAGATTCCTGCATGATCAAATGGACATGTGTCAAAACAATCAAAAACCGCATGCATCGTCGTCTCTTCGCCGAAGACCCGAAGACCACGGAAGATCCGGAGGCGTAAAACCATTTAAACCTAAGGACGTTTGAAGGTTGAACCTACGGATCACCCTGTGATCACAAGATCATCAACCCTTTTTAAGGTCTTCTGTGAAGAAAACTGTCCAACCTACTCGACCGACCTGAAATCCTCGGTTTGAACGATTTCGCTCAGTCGCTTCTTCGAAGAACCGAAGACCGGCAAGGTCAGCCCGGTTCTTCGTGCGGGGCTTGGGATCCTTGGGAGAGCATCACCTCAAGGACCGAAAAATCAAACGCCGCAGGCAATCCTGAAACGACGACCGCTGCGCATTCGGGCCTGGTCTCATTGACTTTGGGAGTTCTGGGGCGGAGCATCCAGGAATCGTTTTGGTCCGGCCGGGAGGAGTGTGTTTTTGAGTTGCCTGATGTTGCTTTGTGTCCATCTGAGTGCAACTAAGTTTTGGGATAGCAACACTGTAGTATGTTCGGTGTATATATTTGATGTGTTCTATTTGTAGCAGAATGAGTGACATTGACTAGGCTCAAACAGAGGGAAGGA